TGATTCAGCTGCTGGTCAGTTTTAGCAGCGGCTGAATCGGGGAAGCTGGGGGCAGAGCAGCTCCAATGGTCAAGATGCCCGGAGCTCTTTGGGTTCCTGATGGTGCCGGACCATCAGGAGTGCCGGACCATCAGATGCCGGACCATCGGAGTTTTACTGTACAATACAAAAAGTGTATTTCTGATGCATATTAACACCAATCACTCCCATATGGAGAAAATGCACTTCTAGAGAGTAAAAACTGAAAAACTTGAGAAGCAGGGAGAATGCTGCTAAAACCATGACATCACTGAACAAGAGAGATATATAATAGATCTGTTTTTGTCAACCATGCAAATTGGCATGCAGGATAAAGTTGGCTCATATGAGTATGAAAGCTGACCAGATGGTTTGCTCTTTGATCAGCACCATAGAGACTGAGGGGGTAGCCATGTTAGTCTGAATCTGCAAAAGTGGCGAGGAGTCCTGTGGCACCCTATAGACTAACTGAAGTGTTGGAGCATAAGCTTTCGTAGGCAAAGACCCACTTCATCAGATGCATGCATCTGATGAAGTGGGGCTTTAAAGTGTTGGAGCATAAGCTTTCATGGGCAGTTAGTCTATAAGGTGCCACAGGATTCCTCATCGCTTTTACCATAGAGACTGTGGTTCTAAACAGCTCTGACTCTGGACATTGTATAGGGCCCCTGTTCTTGGACGCACTGGTAACTTTTTCTGTGGTCAGAGAGCTGTTGTATGCTCATCAGCTATAATGAAGGAAAACAAGCCAATAGGATGAAATAGAAGTATGTAGCACATTACGTCCATATTAATTATTCAATCTATTTTTAAAACTAGGGAAATAAAAATGTTGCTTTTTGGACTGATATGCAGTATCACAAAGATAATTGATTTGTGAAAAAATTAAGTTAAATGGGAAATCTGATGCAGCTTGTTAATTCAATACCCTAGTTTTAATAATGTATCAAATTTCTGCCTTCTAATATTTATTTAAATAGCTTTTGCTTGACATACTGAATGTGTGTGGTAAGAGCTCCTGTCTTCCAGTTGGCAACAGTTGCATGTCTTGAGTTTTACTGTCAAAATCTGCTTATGGAATAGCCTGGCTATGTGTGACTTTAATCTTGATCAGTGTGGGGAAGAAAAATAGCTTTGCATGTTTAATGGTTGCTTTGATGTTAATTAGCCAATTCACTACTGGTCACTTTGGTAATTTACCCAGGTCACGGTATTTTAAATCCTAACGTTCGCTAATCCTGACTGCTGCATATGTCCTTTCTCCTATCTAACCAAAGTTAGCTGAATTTTACTGCCAGGAAATCACGCCTGTTTGGCCATCCCCTTTCTAGCAGGTCTCCTACACATCTGCCAGCTGCAAACAGTCATAACATTATTGAAAATGTGTATTTATTTATTTAGGGCAGGTCAGGAGCTTGCTTTCTGTGTTAGACTGCCAACATCTGACCATAAGGTGTTTGCAGCTTGTCTATGACTCTTTCTGGAGCATACCCAGTCAGCACATCTCTCACTGCACTACCTCAGTATATCACAAACCCAGCAAGGTAGCGTTATCAGTCCAAGATTGAAAGGCTCACCACATGAGATTGCTCTCCTAGCCACTGCTGAGAACAAGTGAACACTAAAAGCTCCCCTGCCCACTGAACAATTCAATGCAAAGGAAAGGGGACTTAGGAATGCAGGAGCATCATCTCCTCACCACACCCTGAGTACGTCAACCGAACACAAGGAATATGCTGGACAGACCTCAACTGGGACAGAAAACCACAGAGGAACATAGAAAATTCTCTTCCTGCCAAACAAAACGTGCAAAAGACTGTCCCTCCTATAATATTAGGAAAGATGATTCTGAAACTAAGGAAGGAAATGTAATCAATTGTTGTCATTCTGTCATGATAGCCCAAGCCACTAAAGAAATTCTAGAGCAATGTCAACATAAATGCCATTATTTCCACCAATCAAGCATGCATGTAGCCAAAGACGACGCCTGTCTCACAAATTAGTTCAGTTTTATAGTTTGGAAATTGAAAGTATTGGCTAGTTAGGCAGTTGCAGAAAATGTGATTTCATCCAAAAGCCCCTCACCGAAAAAAACCTTTCTGCTACAAGTTTGACTTTTGATATAAGGAAAGAGGCTTCAACTCCAGGAGATTAAGTATTCCAACTCTCTAGATAATCTAGTGCTGTAGGCCTTAAGCCAACCAGATGAGCTCTGTCTCCTACAAGTATTCTCTACAAAAATGACAAATTTTAATCCATTATTCCCTCAGCCAGATTTCTAAAAACAGAATAGCCCAATAGAATTTGACAAATGAGTTCTCTCTGGAGCTTCAAGCTGTTACAATCGTGTTTGAATCCATGACTGCAATTCATTTGTCTCAAAGCGTTTGTGACAGTCATGTGTGCAACATGCGCTGTCTATACCCAAACTGTAGCGTATGGTTCACAAGACTTATTCCAAATTCCACACCCATTCATGGATAAGGTAAATTGCTCTTTCAGTGCAAACAATAATGTTTGACAAATTGTAGCCCAAAAATATTAATGCAGCTGAATTGCATAGTGGCTACAGTGCTTTCTGATTGTGGTTTTTATTCAGTGCAAAAGGGCTAAATCTCCAAAGCAACCTCTGGCAAAGGGGATTAAATGCTGCATCAGAGACACTCACTTGGCCTGTGACTAGTCCTGTCCCAGAGCTGCAGGAAAAATTACTGGCTACTTCTAAGAAAGATATGGAATAGGGATGTAAAATCTCATTTCATTGGTTAACCAGTTAAACGTAACATTTAACCGATTTAAGGGGGAGACGGCCCCAACCCAATTATGCTATGTGTTTGTTGGAGAAGGTAGTTCAGAGTGCCACAGACTAGCTTTATTAATCTATATCAACTCCCTGCTGTCAGAGCCTTCCATTCTGGCAAGGAAAGGCTAAGACTTCCTTTGCAAGACTGAAACTTGCAGAGCCTTTCTACACTGCCAGAACTAGAAGTTGATTCCTTATTTATTTCTTCTCATAGCACGTGAACTAGAGGTCACCAAATGAAACTGATAGGTAACTGGTTTAAACAAAAGGAAGTATTTCTTTACACAATGCACAATCAACCTGTGGAACTCCTTGCCAGAGAATGTTGTGAAGGCCAACACTATAACAGGGTTCAAAAAGGAACTAGATAAATTAATGAAGAATGCTGTCCATCAATAGCTGTTAGCCAGGAGAGAGAGGGATGGTGTCCCTAGCCTCCGTTTGTCAGAAGCTGGGAATGGGAGAAAGGGGATGGATCACTCAATGATTACAATCTGTGCAATTCATTCCCTCAGGGGCAGTTGGCATTGGCCACTGTCAGAAGATGGGATACTGGGCTAGATGGATCTTTGGTCTGACCCAGTATGGCTGTTCTTATTATTAAGGAAGAAAAGAGAAATAATCTATCCATATCCTTAAGATGTCATTCTTCAATAATCTACTGCATAAATTATTATTCCTCTATTCTGACCATTTGCTAGATACCTCAACCTTGCACCGGTGGGGTTCAAGCTGAGACCAGTGACTCCAAGCATGAGCCTCTATAATGTAATGTTATGGTTAGATGCTTGCAGCTCCGATTTAATTTAAGTGAAGTAAACTATTCCTGTGTCTATATGCTGCTGATGTACCAAAATCTAAATTAGGAGTCAATGAAAAATGACTGTCACTGCCAAGCAACCGTTATATTACAGTATACGTTATTTGGACCAAGTAGCATTGAGAATACTGGCAGTTTACCAGAAGCACTGGAACTGAAATTGGGCAGCAGACAAAACCACAAGGAGAAGACAGTCAAGGAAAAGTAGTAATCAAAAATCCTGTGGCGGTATTTTACAGCTTGGGGGGAAATGTATTTTTGTAAATTTTTATCCTAATGCTT